CATAGATTTGATGCATTCCTTCTGAAAGGCAGCAGAACAAGACTTGTGACCTGGGTTCTGTTCACAGCTCAGTCTTGAAGTGATTTGTGCAACTTCTCAATTACCTTATTTGAAAAATTAGGGAAATATTAGTTGCCTAGCTTTTAGGGTAGAGAGATGAGGTCATCATAGTAGTAAGGCTTGTGAACAGCACTCAGGAGAAAAGGTGAAACCAGAACCCATGATCACCTGATTCCAGTCTCAGCTGAAGGATAGTCTTTGAGGAAGGGTTCTACCTTGTTCTGTCCCTTGAGATGTGGGCAGATGTGACATGGCTGCCTAAAGCCTGCATTCTGAGATGCACAACACTTGGCAGTGTGTACATCACTGCATTGCAAAACCCAAGTATTCAAAAATCATGAGGCAGAATCCAAAATATAATATTTTAAAATTGTGGGTTTTGCCTGTTGTCCAATTTCACCATCACCACCATGTCTTTTATGAGGAAGCTCCCATCTCCAATTTGTGTCTGATCAGCCTGAGTCCATCTTCAATCTCAAATACATACAAAAATGCAGTTTCCATGTTTACTGCAAAGTAGGAACTTGCCTTCTCCTTTCCCTGACATGGGGAGCTTTTATTGTAACCTCCTCTATCTCCCTCCCTAACAAGGCAGCTACCCACACTCACATGTTTCCTCCATACTCCACCGCCCAGTACCAGGTATAGAAAGGTGCCAGTGGTGCCATGGAGCTGGGCCCATGCTCAGAAGGGGCCCCGGCCTGCTCTGCTTGCATTGTGCCCTGAGACCCCGCTGGCTCCCTCCCTCCCGCCACCCACCACTTGCTCCTCTCAGCCTGTCTGCCAGCCAGCCAAGGGCTCCTCTCCACCTGGCCCCACCGCTGGCTTCTCTGCCCCCTGGCTGGACCCCAGTGCATCTCCTGGCAGTCTTAGTGTACACTGTCAACTTAAAAACCATAGGGCCTAATTTGGGGCTCAGTCAGTGCTGCCATTTTTTTTTTTTTTTTTTTAAAGATTCTCATTTTTTTATTTTTGCCTTCCAATTTGAAATTTTGCCCTTAGTCAAAATGGCTGCCATCTTCAATTACTGTCTGTAGAACAGAAGCCATGGGCTATCCTCAGTAAGATGGCAGTCATCTCTCTAACTTCTGTAGGGGATAGAGCTTCCTTGCTCTGGGGACCGACCCCCTCATGCCATGCTCCATTGCTCCCCTGGGGGCCCACAAATATGTTTGGTGCCAGGCCCGCAAAAAGTTAATCCGGCCCTGCCTCTGCTTGTCTCTTTATGTACGGGAGTCCCCCCCCACACATGCATTTCCCTTCCTCTCCTCTCACTGTCTCCTACTCATTGCATTTTCCCTCTCTGCCATGCAATATTCCACTACAAACCTCCTCAGTTTGCTTCCGGATCCCCTCACGTTCCTCTGACTACTCAGGTTCCCATCCTGTTTCCTAGCACAGTCCTCTTCCCTGCTGCTGCCAGAGCCCCATTCACTGCACCTCCACATTCTGTCCCCTGTTCAGCCCTCAGTTGGTGACTGGAGGCCCATCTTCTTCCCTGAGGGCAGCCATGCTTCAGCCCAATTGGAAATAATAGGAAACTGTGTCCATCTTTTCTGGGAGCAGACTCGCTATCCCCTACAGAAGTTAGAGAGATGACTGCCATCTTACTGAGGATAGCCCATGGCTTCTGTTCTACAGACAGTAATTGAAGATGGCAGCCATTTTGACTAAGGGCAAAATTTCAAATTGGAAGGCAAAAATAAAAAAATGAGAATCTTTAAAAAAAAAAAAAAAAATGGCAGCACTGACTGAGCCCCAAATTAGGCCCTATGGTTTTTAAGTTGACAGTGTACACTAAGACAATACAGATAGTAGAAAATTAAATCACTTGGTAACAAACTTATTTTGACTTTAAAAAGACATTTTGATAAAGTACCTCTGTTAGATAATAAAGGAATATCTAGGGATCAGTAATGAATAGTGACCAGTATAACTTCTAATAAGGACCCAGTAGAGGGGCTGAATAGCAAAGTGACCATTTTCTAATGGAATCATTTTGTTTAGTCAAGAGTAGGAAGAATCAAGAAATTTGAGAGATCTAACACAGCTAAGTAACTGGGAAATATGAAAGCAGTTAACATTTAATAGTCACAAAGGAGAGATAATTCAGCATAATAAGTAATATTTAAAATAACACCTGACAGAGGAGGTCATTCAGTCATTCATACATACTTTGTCCCATAATTAAGACATATTGCACCAGTTTCATTTAAAGTTTATTTTTAATTTAGATTTTTCTATTCAACGAAACTCAGTGCCCCATAATATATTATTATATTTCTACTAGCTTTAGTAAGCTAAAATGAAGGCACTTTTCTCATAATAAAATACTGCAAAATTAGGTCCAGTTGTTTATTTTTTTCACCCTAACGATCCTTTTATTAGGAGAGGGACCCTTGGCACCCAGATTCTGTCGTCTTCTTATGGTGGGCTTTCCCCACTTTTCCTGATTACTGTATATGGGAAGGGGACATAGATAATATTCAGGTTGCCTGGACCCTCCTCCTCCATCTTCTTGGCTGACCTGCAGAGTGAAGCTGTCATCATGGAGACCTGAATGGGTTTAGGCTGCTGCCCCTTCAAAATGGAACTTTCACTTTCAGGTCATACATATGTTGACTGGGCTGCCTGACATCAGACTTCGAATGGGAATCCTTACAAAATATCTAAGACAGCATTCCATGGCTACTAGAGATGATTACATCAGTTATTTCAATTTAGGAACATTTCCATGAGCTAGAAGCTGCAGTGGTGGCTTTCACCTGAATAGAGTCCAAAATGTAGTGAACTTCACACTTCTGAACTTTTATTGTCATGAGGATTTGGTGGGGTGCAGGAAGTGGATGGGATGACAGGGGCCGATTGGGCCATCAGAAGATATGAGAGGAGTGCAGCTCTCCAGATGTCTGATGGAGAAGAAAGACTATTGGATAAGGAGGAGATAGTGTATTGGTAGATAATGTATTGCGGTTGTTGCCGATATTCAGGGACATACAAGGGATAATACCGATAAATCCTGATTGTTATCTGTGGGAATAGGAGCAGTGTATATAATTATTTTAAAAGCTTGGAAATTAACACAAAAAAGGTTTTGGCCCAGTCAGGTGTATCAGGGCTCTGCTCCATCTGTCCTCAAGGTTGCAGAGAGCCATTTTAGCTCCCAGTGCAAGTTAAACCACTCTAGAGTTTGCTCTTGCTTGAGTTGTCTTGGAACAGCTCCCTAGAGGCAGTAATACTGGTACGGCCATATCCTTTTCTGCTCTGGCACTCTGCCCATTTGATGGTGGGGTGGCATAAGGGAGTGGCATAGAGTCAGTATAACCAGTTCTATGCTAGTCAGATTCCCTGTTCAAAAGAATCCTCAGATGCCCTACTAAAGCAGCTTCCTGGCCCATTTGTGCAATCAGAGTGGCAGCAAAGAGTCCAGGAATGGATGCTGAGAATCTGGTCATTACAGCTTTGACTTACAGTTCCTAGACTGCATAGCCCACCAACTCAAACTGTAAAAAGCAAAGAAATAAGCAGTTAAGTCACTTGACGCCTCAGCTATAATTCCACTCCTTTCTCCTTCTTAGCTTTAACTGTCTCTCTTCCAACGATTGCTCATATATCTCCAGCCTCTGTTGAACAACCAGTGTGCAGCCACACGCACCAATGTTCACACAATGCAGATTTAAATTTTGTAATGAAAACTAATTATTAACATTGATGACATGTTAATATAACTTTTCCTGACACTTTAGGAAAATATATTGTAGCCAACATTTCCAATCTGACACATTATCTCAATTATACAGGAATACAACATACAGAACTACACAGAATGTAATTTATGAAAGTCACAACAATGTTATATTAATAATCAAAACAACGGAATATATAACCAATTAATATGGTTTGAGGATGCATATTGATCTCTGAAGAGGAGCTGGAGAGATGTGGGTGGTAGAAGGGAGGTAGTGGAGGAGGAACTGCTGACTGATGTGCAGATGGAGTGTTAAATTACTTAACTGCTTGTTTACCCTCTTTTTTGTAGCTTGCATTGATAGGATATTCTGTCTAGTAACATAAACTCAATGTTGATGACTTTCTCGTGTGGGAATCTACCTTGGGCATTTATATAGCACCAGTAACCATAATATGTAGATATTGATCTTAATTTACTTTTAAAATCTCACATAAAACCTGTTAAGTTATACCCAGATGATGTAAGACTATATTTTATCAAGAATATTGTGACTGCAATATAAAACATTTATTTCAGCTAAGAAACATTGTAACTAATATTAAAAAGTAGTGTCTTATCTCTTCATAGTGGAAGTCAGGTTGTGATTTTGCACTAGAATAGTTTAATTAACTAGCTAGTGACTAACATTTAATTTATTATTTTGGGTAGCTGTATTTGATCTGTTTTATCTTGATTTATACATCTGTCAGACTGCTGGAGGCTTTTATTGTAATTTCGATTTCCAGATCAATGTATCCCATCAGTTTTTCTTATGAAAGCTAATGATTTTGGGCTGCATTAATTTTAAATGTAATCTGGGTTGCAACGACTTCCCCCTGGAGAATGGATGTATTTGATCTCGCCTCCTCTCAGTACTGTAGTTCTCCCAACATGCAGAAGTCAATAGCCGTATGTGGAAAAGACTTCAATCCCCATAGTTCTTTGGGTGAGCATGCGCCATAAGCTTGCAGTTGTCAAAGTGTTCTTGCCAGAGCGGTCGCCTATTTGTTGTATAGCAAACCCGAAAGAAGAAAATAAATACTGTCATTGTATTGATCTTTAAATACAGAACACTCAAAGGTAACTGTTCCTAAGGAATTTCTGCGTTGACTGCTTGGGTTACTGCATACGAACGGAGCTGGTATTGTTATGGGGATATAGATTTCCTGTACTGGACTGTAAATTTGCACAAATACTTATACCAGCAATAATCAAGAGGCACCGCATATTAGCCCAATATTAGACATTGGTTGGCCCGTCTTTCAAAGTCATTTATTATCCAGTGTTTCTCCATTCAGACTGGCTTCATTCATTAAAGGTAGGTCTTGACCTTGACAAGAGGGTTGAATTTGTGCTGAAATTTTACCTTTAAGGAGTAATGGAAAACGGATGTGGATTACTATCCTCAGGATAAAGTTAATATACAAATAACTAAGGAAAGATATGTATCTGAAACAACTGCTGGGGTGGCCACTGTACGATTACTTGGTGAGTTAGTGAATCAAGTACACTTTATTGAAGGCAGGATTTTAACCTTTCAATTGTTTTTTGTAGAACATAACTTTCTAAATGGGTGCATCAAAAAGCAAGGAAGGATTATAGGTGTTATCTTTTCCTCCCTTTATCCTATGGAATGCCCAGCAATTTTGTTTAGTTCTAACAGTTATGGTGATTTTGATAGAAATTCAGCTAATGGAAAGCTACACGAAGCCTGGGATATTGTGGCTTGCTGCAGTACGGCTTTAAACTGCCTCGAAAGGTTTCCTGCACCTCTCTCTCCCCCCCCCCCCCCCCCCCGCCCCGCAGCAGCAGCAGAGCTGCGTGATACAGATGCAATAGTTTACTCCTTTCTTCCTAGGAATTTGGCTTAATGCTGTCTCACTATATGGACTGTTAAAGTCATAATTGTTGGACTTACTTATTTGAATAGAGAATAAAATAAACAGAAAACGTAACGTAACTAGTAGCAGAACCTGTCCTGTCAATTATCTCTAAAGCAAAAGCGTGTGTATGTATATATTGTGTGAATAAAATATAGAGTTTGAACTAGATGGAAACAGCTAATATTTAAATAATCTTTGTAAAGTGCAATCTTAAACGAAAGCCATGGGTCATATAAAAATGGCTAATATAAGAAATTAAACTTTGTCTTCACGCTTCTTGACACCCTTCCTAACCAGCTGTTTAATTTGACATCACGTTATTTTGCTGCAATTAAATAGCAATCTAAAAGTCAAGTGCTTTTTAGAAATACAAACGCCATATGGTTAGAACAATTAAAAATGTGCTTAGGTATTCAGAGATGCCTACTTTTATTGACATGGCTACTTGATTAAAATTAGTCATAAATTAATAGACTTATTTAAAATATTGTCACGAACTTTTTTTGTGTGTGGCCTCTTTAATTGTAAATACGTCTGCGAAATTTGGGGGTGGTTGCTCTGATAGTTGCTTGCAGAGGTCGAGGAGTAGCGAATGCATATACCTTACTCTGGTACTGAGTTTTAAAATAAGGTTAACATTTGTATTACTTGACCTGATGTATTTTATAAGAAGTACTTTTCTAATAGGTATAGGACTTGCTCACACTACATAAATTTAATTTCATAACGTTTTAACTTGTTTACATTTAGTGATTGACTTGTAAATTGCATCTTTAAATCATTCAGTCCCTTTCATATGGAAGAAAGGTGGTTTTAAAAATGTGTGCATGTATAAATGTATAAATTAAATGTTTTGATTCGCCCCACTTTTTAAATGTTGTGTTGAAAGGAACAGAGACTTTAGTATTTAAAATACTAACTCCAAGCTCTGCTTATAATTTTGGCCTGAGATCTTAAAAGTATGCTATTCTGTAGATTTCACATATATAGTCCTGTCTGTAGTGAGTATATCCGAAATACACAAGGAAGGGACTGTCCTAGGATGCAAAAACCCTGTTTTATAGAGAGTAACCCTGAAGTGAAAAATCTTAAGGTCATCAGAGGCAAATACAACCTTGTTTTGTTTTTCAATCAGAGTTGATGCTTATGCATCTGGCCAAACAGTAAACTGTCAGGAAAGAAAAGGCCAGTAAATGATGTGCAGCTAAGAACGTCTTCCATTATCAGCTCAAGAGTCTGAGCATGTTCTGTGGTGTTAAATGGAATAATTGAAAACCTGTTTGTTAATTAAGGGAAATGGGCATCCTGCTTCTTTAAAGGTCTCCTCGTATGGAAGGGGGTGGAGGAGAGTAAAGGCTGGTGTCTTTTTAACCTTGCTGAAGGACGCAGCAGTATTTATTGACGTATGCAAATAACTGGGGAGGAGGAGGAGGGTGCTTGGAAAAACAGGAACCAGAATCAGTTTCTCATTGCAGGGTGAGAGCTCTGAGTTCCGGTGTAAGAGAAAAGAGACGTGGCGAAATTGCTGTATATCTCTGCCCTATAAGCACATCTCTCATTTAGATTGAAAGGAATCAAGGCATCAGAAAGGGTGAAGCCTCTTAAATTATATTTGAAGGCAAGCTAGCACGATCACACTGATTAAACATTGCACTCCTAAATGGGGGAGGAGGGGGAATTACGGATTTGCCTTGCAACTAGCAATGGCACGGGATTTTAGCAAGCAAAATACCAAAGCAGTGCGGCTAGTGGTATGAATGAGAATAATAACCTGTCTTTGTGTTTCCCCCCTCACCCCCCACCACTGTTTCAGCTGCACAAACCATGCAGGATGATTTACTGATGGACAAAAGCAAAGCCCAGCCCCAGCAGCAGCGGCAGCAGCAGCAGCAAGATCCAAACGCAGCAGAAACCCCTTCTACACCCATCTCATCAGAGACGTCTAAACCGGGGGACAGCAGCCCAGTGACTAGTATCGGCACAGCAACTTCTGTCCAAAATAGCAAGGAGAAGATGCAGATGGAGTCCCCCATCTTGCCTGGCTTGAGTTTTCACCAGCCTCAGCAGGAACCTACACCCGGCACCTCCTTGTCTCCGTCCTTCGGCAGCACCTGGTCTACAGGGACCACAAACACAGTGGATGATAGTTTTTTCCAAGGGATTACCCCAGTCAATGGCACAATGCTTTTCCAGAATTTCCCTCACCATGTCAACCCTGTGTTTGGTGGCACTTTCTCTCCCCAGATCGGCCTAGCTCAGACTCAGCACCACCACCATCAGCAGCAGCAAGCCCAACAGCAGCAGCAAAGGAGATCACCTGTGAGTCCCAATCAGGCACCTTTTGCCCAGAGAAATGCTGCTTACAGCCATCAGCCCATTATGACCAGCAAACCGTCTTCCTCCTCTGCCTCTTCCTCTTCCTCCTCCAGCTGGAATAACCACCAAAACGCAGCCTGGAGTACACCTTCCAACCCCTGGGGTGGGTTGCAAGCTGGCAGGGACCCTCGAAGGGCAGTAGGAGTGGGGGTTGGGGTAGGAGTGGGGGTTGGGGTGCCTTCCCCCCTCAATCCTATTTCACCCCTCAAAAAACCTTTCTCCAGCAATGTCATTGCCCCTCCGAAGTTCCCACGGGCTCCACCCTTAACCCCCAAATCCTGGATGGAGGACAATGCCTTCAGGACCGACAATGGCAACAGTCTGTTGCCTTTTCAGGTAATGTCTTAATGCACCTTTTGCACTAGTGACAGATATCTCAATGTTTTGTTTAAGGTGCACTCTGCACCAATATCTCATCTAGAAGGTAACATGTCATTTTCACCTTCTTCATAGCTCATGAGTATTTACCTCTTCTGAAATCGTACTGGCTGCTCTCAGAAATTGCATACTCAGATCCAAAATCTTACATATGGACAATAGCCCTATTTTTCTTCTAATTTCACTTTTTTAAATTACTGCAAGGGGTTTTAACATTAGAAATCTGGTTGCTTTCAGGGAACATAGTTTCTATAGATTTTATATTCCATTCCTGTGGATGATAAATGTGTGTATTTAACTTGTATAGTATTTGCAAAAATCCTATATTATGTTAAATGGTGAGGAATATGGGGCTATTAATGTATAATAGCTGGCTTCAGATTTCTAACTAGAAGGCTAATTTTAAACAAAGATGCTTCTGAACCTGATATGCAGCTAATTACTTTTCACCATTAAAGAGGTTAATACTTATTGTTGAGATGTGGTTTAAGAAGGACTGTATTCACATAATGTATGCAATCAAATGTTGGAAACTTATCAAATGTGTAATCCAGTGTTGCATCCAGGGTGTAGGTTTTTGATACATCTAGAAGCAGCGTAGGTGTGTACAGAAGGAGTGCCGTATCTGTTTTTTTTCTAATAAGAAGATCTCTATTCAAATTGACATGATTTAGAAATGGTAGGGCAGTATTTATTATTTTGTAAATTAAAACATGTTATGCAGTTCAGTATATTTGCAGAGAAAAGAGACAATAGGACACGACCTTCAGAGCCATATTGCAATGGAGTCTATTTACTAGCTACATAGCTCTGAAATATTTAAAGCTGCAGTGTCCTTCACCAGTTTGGTATCTAAGATGACAAGGCGGATAAATTACAATTGAAACTGAGGGAAATAGAAGCTCTGCAATTTTAATGTCGAGTGAGGCTTGTCTTGGTGTTAAATACCTTTTTAAAGTGGAATAAATTAGGGTAGGCACTCTCACGTGTATCTGCATGAGATGAAAAGAATCCCCCTTTGTGCCAATTATCATTTCCAGTCTCAGGTCAATTGGAATGCTTCTGTTTTACGATATTAAGTGATATGTATGCTTTTGCTTTAGAGAGACACTTTCTCAGAAGTTACAAACTGCTAAGTTTTTAACATATTACTGGTAATAATAGGAATGATGTTTAGATTGATACTTTGTGTTAGAAATGTAGGAAATAAGAAAAAAAGTTGATCAGCTTTAATGGATATTACTAGTCTAAGAAATATGCATTCCTTTGCATTTTCTGCCATTCAAATAGGGATGTTAAAGTGAGCCTTGAGACTTCATTTTGCTGCTTCATTCTGTTTAAAGGGAGACATGCTAATTTCTTATTGGCTACCCTCAGTGGAGGAGGAACAGGTTTTATTGAGCTGCTGTCACTGTCTCTGTCGCATCAAAGAGTAAGCAACCCTTGAGACATTCTTTTCCCTGCTGAAGTTGTTACATCACCATGTTCTGAACAACATGAAAGGTTAATTGACATTAGCTAGCTTTCACCTATTCCTAAAGGTGACTAGTAGATGCATCCAAACTGGTACCCATACTTAAGTTCTCTAAAAATAAGATTTTACAAAATCTAAGACCAATAGCACTGTGTGTTTTTTTTATGGTAATTCTAATGGGAAGTGTCTTTTATAAATATACATTCTCCTGTAGTATTTGCAACCCAGACATAAGCAGTATTGTGCTAGTGCAGGAGTACCAAAAGTGAAAATTAATAGAAAATGCCATATATTAAACTTCCCATTCAGAAACAGGGAGCAGACAGCATATGTAGTGAAAAGTTAATTAGATTTTTAAAATTCAGTTTTGAAAGTCTAGGTGTTGTAACATAGGTCAGAAAAATTTACTTTCGTCAACATGAATTTTAACCTGCTAGTGGCCTATTAAACTAAAAACAAATATGTGCCAGTGACTACTTTTATGGCCAGGTGAAATATGAGCCTCAAAATTTTTTCTAGTGTCACAATGACCTTTTATAACACACAATCTTGAGTTTTGCTTAAGGTAGTCGCCTGGATTAACAATTATTATTCCTGTCTGAGTCGTTTTTTCATCATTACTACACAGAATTTGCTGGAGAAGGAATCTTGTAACCGTAACATGGATTATATAGACAATTGTCTGGTTTTTATGTTTGCATAATTAAATTTCAGTTTCCTTTTTGTAGTGTAGTGACAGTTTATTTTAACATCTGTTGCCTGGTATTTTGTCTTAGAAAAGTTGGGCAATGTGTTGGCACATGAAGGTTTGCTTATTGGCACTATCAAATAATTCTGGCAGGTTCATCAGTCTGTTAACCTTAATTACTTTGGTGGGGTTTTTTGTTGATTACAATGGTATCTTGCTGAACACTCTCTATCAATATGTTAGAGTGCATTAGTTAACTACTTTTACTATCTCATTTAATTTCCCCATGTTGAAATTTTTTAAACTGTAGACATATAACATATTAAACATAATAGAACGTATAAAGCAATGTTTTAAACACCCATATTTGCCTAACTATTTATTGTTTGAGTCACATTGCTGTATCTTGCATTTCACAAACATTATGAACGAGGTCATTGCTCCGAGGAACTCAGTTTTGTTCAGACAACCTAGTTGAAGGATTAAAAAGTCAAAGGAGTTCTGGCAGCATCTGAATTGTGACCAGTTTTGAGAGGCAAGTAAAAGATGCTTTGAAGGAGAAGGTTGTTCCTACCATAAGGGGCATTGTTATAAATAAAATAAAGGTGGAAAGCTGAAAGCAGAAGACATAAACAAAAAGAACAATTGAAACAGGACTGGGTAAAACACAAAAAATAAGATGAGAGAATAAGAGAAGATGGGCAGACGTGGGGTGAGGACAGATGTATAGAGCCTACAAAGTGTCGATGGGGAACTTTTACTATATGCTGAAGATAGTGAAGGGATTCGAAGAGGTAGGGGCTGATGAGGCAATAGAGGAAGATGATTGTCAGAATACTTAATAGTATCATTTTAACAAATTAGTGGAAGAGTCATTTCTCAGAAGTAGAACAGTTTCAGCATACAAAATATTCTGATGATCCTGCTGCTTTCCTCATTGTGTTTTTGATACATGTAAAAATACACAATTACAAGTTACATTTTGAATACATATAGGTATAACATAACATTTTGCTTCTACTGTGTGTGTGTGTGTGTGTGTGTGTGTGTGTGTGTGTGTATACACACATACACAAGCATCTAATTGTTTTTCCAGTTTTTGATCAAACCCAGCTTTACTGACATATTTCTACTAGTGATATATTTAAAAGAATGTGAACATGGTATTATCGCTTTTATATTTGATTTTAGAATACCATCTTTTAAGACTGATGTTGATCACAGATAGAAGAAAGAGACTGCAATAATTATTTACATGGGGATTAATGGTTAGGTTGAGGCAATAGGGAGTCTTCCCACTGATTTTAATGGGAATTGGATTGGACCCATACAAATTTGTTAACTAAATTTAGAAAATAACTTCAGTTTTGGCAATTGATATTTAATATTAAAGTAAATTTATAAATTCATAAATTAACATTTTTATATGTATTTAGTAGTGAAGCTCATTAATAGGTGCAAGTACTCTGCCATATGTTGTGCTGTCTTTGCTTACCAAAGTGAAATGGAGGGCAAAGGAATAGACACTATATCATGGTTACAATTCCAGCATAATAACTTTTCCACCTGCTGATGGACTGCTCTTTAAGAAGCTAAGAGGCTTCTATCTGTCTTTTTAAATGTATAAGGTACTTCATGTTTTAAGATATTGGTATCTTTTTGAACTACAGCTATATTGCTGTTAATGTATATCCATGAAATACAATGATGCATAGAATAATTTTGTCTTCAAGCCCTAGAAGACCATTGCTAACTAAACTCTGCTAGCTTAAATATAAGAGAACACCAGCTAAAATGTAACCTTTTTCATAAGGTAATGAATTAGTTATTTCACTGTCACAGTACAGTAATCGTATTTCTTGCTTGGTATTACAGTAACTTAAACAGGTCATCATATAGAAAATGATGGATGAGTGGCAATGAGAGTGCCCATTGAGAAATTTTTCATATCACCAAATCTCCAATATGAAATGAATTCCATGCAATTTTCTACAGCCCATTTGTTAAAACTGAAACATTAATTAGTGCAATAACTATTAAAAATCCCTTTCCTTTTCTCTTAGATTTTAAATGTCTCTCTCATATAGTATTCGGGGTCACTGTCCTTTTGGGGAATTTTAGGGTAGGTGTAAATCCATTTGCACAAGTAGTTTTTTAATTTTAATTCATAGTTCTAAATCTGACATTCTGGGTTATAATTTTTCTGATATGAGGTTAGTAGATTGACATTAAGTATGATTTGCTATGCAGTTACTGTCATCAATACAGCCTTTTACAAGCACTCTTGAATATAGACAGATTCCTATTTCTTTGAAATAAATTTTTTTACATCAGCATTTAAAAACCGATTATCAAGGAAATTTTGCAAGATTAATATAATCAGATGTAACAAATATTTGTTTGAAATATATTTTTAAATCCTAAATTCAACCTGCTATAGGTGGGATGTGTAACTATTATAAAAAATGGTCCATTTTGTTTGGCCTCACTCTTGTATTTCTGATTTTTTTTATAAGCAGTAGATGCCACATTGGTCAGTGAAATATATTGTTATAAAATGTTGTTAATTCAGCAAATTACTGAAAGATTTGAAATGAGTTTTTTAGATCTTTCAGGTTATGTACTATGTATTAGTACTTGAAATAAATGGAAATGTATGGGCAGTTGGAATTCCAGCTACATAAAAGCAGAGAATGTGCAACTTCTTGAAACACTAAAGGAACATTTAGTGGTTGTAGGAGTGACACAATCCCTTTTCCCACTTGGGCGGGTTAGATACTTACCAACATAAATTAT